CCCTGATGTTGGGAAAGATGGAGGGCACAAGGAGAAGGGGACGACAGAGGATGAGATGGTTGGATAGTGTTCTTGAAGCTACCAGCATGAGTTTGACCAAACTGCGGGAGGCAGTGGAAGACAGGAGTGCCTGGTGTGCTCTGGTCCATGGGGTCACAAAGAGCCGGACACGACTAAACAACAACACTGCATTGTAGGGGTTAAACTAGATGACTCTTGGGGTCCCTTCCAACTCTACAATTCTATGATTATCAATTATATGCAGAAATGTCTGTACGGAATGCCATGCCAGTGCCTTCAAACTGGACCCACTGCTGCAGAAATGCCATGTTTGTCATCACCATGAGGGAAGTAATTGTTTCAGGGTGTATTTTTTAGAAAATATTGCAAGCTCATATTGTGGCAGCTGAGCGGTCTTCCAGCTACTAGAGTTTGCCCTCAAATTACGAGTTATCTTTTTTTCGTTTTTAACTTGTAATTTTCTTTCTGAAGAGATGTGATTTTTATAGCACTCTAGTGTTAGCCACTTCAAAGGCACTTCCTTGTTCCGAGAATATTATTTCCCCAAATCCATGACTCTGCAATGAATCCCCCCCCCCGCCCCCATTTCATATGCTTGATGTTAAATAAGTTCTGGAGCTTCTCTACAAATATACACCACTAAATGGCTACTGCATAGTTTTGGGAAGATGTGGTTACAATCTCCTGTAATCTGCTTTATCTTGACATTCTGCTTTCATTTTTGGCAGGAATGTATCTTCCACGCAAACATCCACTGTATTTAGAGATTTATATTAAAATAAATAGTGAAATTATAGCCACAATGAATTTTCAAGAATGCAAAAGGTTGGGAATCTTTTGGAAAGGGCTCAAGGAATCCTGCCACACTGATAATTGGGCAAGAAAACCTCCAAGTCTCCAACCGACTCTGTCCGTTACTCAAAATAAAGTTATTCTGTCATAAATCAAGGTAACCTTTGGAAAATGTAGTAGCAATTTAAAGATTCAGAGTCCAGAATATGAGACTTGGAAGTCAGTAAACTATTTGCTTAATGAGATGAGGAAGGTTACTTTGAAATCATTTCCTAAATTGCTGAGGACCAAATTACGCATTTAGCAGGATTAAGAGGTACAGCTTGACACATTTAGCAGGATCAAGTAGCAAAACTTGGCTGAAGACGATGGTGGTAGGGACGCTGGATATTTGAATACTCCTGCAGGAAAAAGACTCCCAGCACACAGAAATAACAGAGTGTAAGAGAAGGCAAAACACACTAGTTTTATATGTGCAGAGAGGTTATTTCCTTTTTTCCTTTTTTAATGGCAGAACATTCTAAGATGAAATCCCATACTTAGAGTGGTACACAAGAAGTTTCACCACTGGATTCTGCTGAGCGTATCAACTGGTTCTCAGGTTTTCATGAAGCATCACCGCTGAGTGACCCACACACAGAATCTCTACACTGCTTCCCCGTAAAGCAAAAAACAAACCCAGAAATTCTCATTATTACGTGGCTTCCATGAGCAGGGCCAGATTTAGGTTTGATGAGGCCCTAAGCCAGGCATAGGCAAACTCGGCCCTCCAGATGTTTTGGGACTACAATTCCCATCATCCCTGACCACTGGTCCTGTTAGCTAGGGGTGGTGGGAATTGTAGTCCCAAACATCTGGAGGGCCGGAGTTTGCCTATGTCTGATCTAAAGCCATTTGCACATAACAAAATACGTATTTTATCAAAGTATTTGTTGAACTGAAATACAATTAAGAAGAAGTATATTAATAGTGAAATACAGTTAAGAAGTATTTTGGGGTGCGGGGCAAGAGAGTGGGGCCCTAAGCTCTACGTGGGGCTACCTTTGAAGGTGACCCGGAAATTACAACTAATCCAGAATGCGGCAGCTAGACTGGTGACTGGGAGCGGCCGCCGAGACCACATAACACCGGTCTTGAAAGACCTACATTGGCTCCCAGTACGTTTCCGAGCACAATTCAAAGTGTTGCTGTTGACCTTTAAAGCCCTAAATGGCCTCGGTTCAGTATACCTGAAGAAGAGTCTCCACCCCCATCATTCTGCCCAGATGCTGAGGTCCAGCACTGAGGGCCTTCTGGCGGTTCCCTCATTGCGAGAAGCCAAGTTACAGGGAACCAGGCAGAGGGCCTTCTTGGTAGTGGCGCCCGCCCTGTGGAACACCCTCCCATCAGATGTCAAAGAGATGAACAACCACCTGACATTCAGAAGACATCTTAAGGCAGCCCTGTTCAGGGAAGTTTTTAATGTGCGACATCTTAGTGTATTTTTGGTCTTTGTGGAAGCCGCCCAGAGTGGCTGGGGATACCCAGCCAGATGGGCGGGTTACAAATAATAAATTATTATTATTATTAAGCTATAGCTTGTTTAGCTTCTATGTAAATCTGGCACTGTCCATGAGCCTAACTTCAAGATGGAAACTGTATGTCAATGAACCACTCCAAGTTGTAGAGTCAGTAGCTGGTAGACTGTGCCTGTTACCCAATGCATGGACACAGCCTCAGCAGAGCTTCTTTGCACTCCCAATTTGGTGCTTTAAAGTGAAATCTCTAGTTCAGGAAGCATAATGCCCAACATGCCAGCTGTTGCATATTCTTTCCATCTGCGAGTGGCACCAATTCTGCTGTGCAAACTAAAGTAGAACTAGCATGCTTTAGACCCAGGTGCTTGCTGTTACACCCAACTTCTGGCAACAGAGGCAAAGTCTGGGAATGAGTCAAAGTTGGGCGAGGCGAGTGCGTGTGTTAAGGAAGAGAAAAATAAGGGCATCAGGATTCCCTTGAATTCATATAAAAGCTCAATTTCACGTGCAAGCTTTCACTAGTGTGGCCTAGTGCCATCTAAGAAATTTGTAACCTTATTCTGGTTTGATGCTCCAGCTGAATCCCTGTTTGACATCCTTCCAGCTCCAGGTTCAGAAACCACTGCAGTTTCCACACTTGTATGAGCACAGCTTCGCGTTCCCCTCCAAAATCTCACTATACATGTCCAAGATTGACTAAGTGGTGTTTTTCCCGCCCTAGCAAATGTCCAGAAGGGACCTACAGGGTCATTTGAGTTCACCTCTGCAAGCTGAGAAGATATCTTTTATTGGGGCTACCTTTGCTGCAGAGAGCATGCAAACTTTGCAAAAAAAAAAAAATACTTTAAAAAAAACAAAGAGCAAAGGAAAAGTAAACCATTTTTTTGGAAAAATTTGAAAGCAAAATATATATTTTATGACTGAAACCCATGATCAGCCTTCTGGCAAAGATCAGATATTTAAGCTGCCTAAAGGCCATTTCTCGTTAAAACTGCTTGACATTTCTTTTACTCTAAACATGCAGGGGAAAGCAGTTATTGATATTTGTGCTGCTAGAAGAGAAATTGCAGCTATTTCCAGGAAATGCACAGTTTTACGTCTTTTTATGGTGCCCTGCTAGCAGAGAATTGGAATGTGATATGCAATTCATATTCTAAGCACAAAAGTGATTTGTTTGAAATTAAATTATGATTACCTGCATGACTCATATCATCTCTGGAGGGAAATATTAATTGCACAGACATGGGTTCCATCAGAAGAGAAAGGAATATTTTGACAATGCACGTTTTATTTCAGCAGCAGCATGCCAGCATCCCTCTCCCCCACAAACTTTTTTCTTCCAATAAAAGTTGGAAAAGAAAAAAAAATCAGCAAAAGATCATGTCAGCACAATATTTCTGGTGATATACAATGCAATCTTGTGTTTCATGGCATTTTCAACACAGGAAATTGGTGTATTAAAAACAATCCAATTCACATTTTTTTCGCTTGAATCAGGACTTGTGGTTCCTTTGAATGGAAACAAGCTGTTTTTACACTAGCTTAAGATGTCCATGCTTGTTAATTGCTGACTCAGACAACATCCAGTGATAATGTCAATGCCTCATGCTAAAGTTTAGCAGCTAAACCATAATTTAGACCCAACCTGATCTCAGAATTCGTTGTCTAGGCACATTTTGTTTAGGTTATTTCCTAATCATTCAAGCTATATTATTTGTAACTTGTTAATTGATTGAAACCTTAGCCAACTTCCCAAGAGCTGCAACATCTCAGTAATGTACAAATTAGAAGACCTAAAGTATGAAAGGCTATTTATCATGTCAACCCAACCATTCACTGGAACCTTGTTAACAAAACTCTAGATATTTGAAAAGACCAGTGATAAAATCCTTATCCCAACTTATGGAAAAAAGCACTTCCATACGTCTAAGGCATCTGACAACTTCATTTTGGGGGATGGTACCCAAGTTACATGATGGATGGGTTTATAGCAACATATGGTAGACATTATAATGAGTTTAGATTATTGTAGCCCAATGGACTATAGATAGCAAGTTCTAATGTACTCAGTCTTCACCACCACAATTCCACTTAAAGTGAAATGCCATGGAAGCAGTATCTGTATCCAATGGTGAGTTGGGGGCTTTTTGAAAGGAAAATCACTGCATATTATTTGGAACAGCATACAGAAGTTTCGCAGGTGGCTTGGCCACCCTCCACTTCTAAGTTTTGTGTGGAAGAGGCATTCATGTGTCCTTCACTGGTCTTGAAATACATTTAGAGGGTGATCAAATCACACGTATTTTGTGAGTAGTGCCTACATGTGAAATAGTACATAACACTGGCAGTTGTGAAATAGTACATAACACTGGCAGTTGTGAAATAGTACATAACACTGTCAGTTTCTTAGTGCAGAAAGTATTGATCAGATGTGTGTAGATATTCCCTATTCTAATTAATTCAAGAGTTAATTCAATTAGTTCTGGCAGCTTCTCTGTGTGAAAGAAACAAGCAGAAGGTTCGTGGTGTTTGGGTTATTCCTTCAGAGAAGCTGAGTACAGCTGCCTTAAACTGGTCCTCTTATCTCTTTCTGTCAAGGTCATGCTGACTATAGTAATAAGGCCAGTAGGAGCCCGAGTTTCACTTTCTCTTTCTATTTCTTTTTCCTTTCTGGTGTGGTGTTCTGTACACCATGGGTTGGCAAACTAAGGCCTGGGGGCCGGATCCGGCCCAATCGCCTTCTAAATCCAGCCAGCAGATGGTCCGGGAATCAGCGTGTTTTTACATGAGCAGAATATGTCCTTTTATTTAAAATGCATCTCTGGGTTATTTGTAGGGCATAGCAATTTGTTCATTCCCCCCTCCCCCAAATATAGTCTGGCCCCCCACAAGGTCTGAGGGACGGTGGACCGGCCCCCTGCTGAAAAAGTTTGCTGACCCCTGCTGTACACAGTACGCTTACTGTTGAGGTTTAGACTTATTATAAGTTCTTGTAAGTTTAAGTTAAGTCTGCTGCAACTGGATTTCTTATGGACAGTGCCAATCCTTAATGTATTGGATTTGTGACCATTATGCTCATTTGCCTTCAGTAGCAATCAAGCTCTGCTGGGTGAAATACAATTGCCTCTGGTCTATTTTTTGGGAATCCTGCAACGTGTTTAAGTTGTTCAAACGCACATCAAAGCACAAGTAGATAAATAGGTACCGCTCTGGCGGGAAGGTAAACGGTGTTTCCATGCGCTGCTTTGGTTCGCCAGAAGCGGCTTCGTCATGCTGGCCACATGACCCGGAAGCTGTATGCCGGCTCCCTCGGCCAATAAAGCAAGATGAGCGCCGCAACCCCAGAGTCGGCCACGACTGGTCCTAATGGTCAGGGGCCCCTTTACCTTTACCTATACATTGGAGTTCTGCTCTGGATCACTATTGAGTAGAATTTCATGATAAACAAAGCCTGATATCACCTTGTGTCGCATGGCCTGCAAGGAAGGCCATCGCTGACCCAGCCTATCAGGATGCTATTCCGCGATAAGAACTTGGCAGTCCCCCAGAAGCATGAACCATGTTTTGCATGGGGCCCATACACAGCTTCTTCTAGCCCCCTAAGTAGGAGGTAAGGATTGTGACACTTCATACTGTTTCTGCCACAATGATGTCAGAAGCAGAATGAAAAACAGCATAATAGAAAACCAATCAAAGCAGCCAAGTATCTATTGTGTGTTTGTGTGTGTGTGTGTGATTGTGTATTTCTGGTGATGGTCAGAAATACACACACAGAAACAAACAGGCAAACAACAGCCAAAACACTGACCCCCCATGCACACAACAAATAAAACAGTTTTTTTTTTAAAAAAAGGCACCCCCACAACCAAATAGCAACAAAAAAGGCCCCCGCAAAACCCTCATTTTAAAAACTGGGAAAGGCAGGTCTTGGCAAAGGGGGTGTATGAGGGCACTGCGTTGGAGACCTAACTTCTAGCCTGAGCCAACCAAGAGAACTCAAGGCACATGTGGGCCAACTCAGTGGCTGCTACCAAGTTTTTCAAAAGCAGCCAAGTATCTAAGGATAAGGTAGAGTTCAGAATGCTTGTCATTGTAGTACTAAAATGTAAATATCAGAAAAATGTAAATACACCACTACACATAGTTTTTTGTATCTTAACATTTGGCTGCACTGATGAGTATCTGCATTAAGAGTATGAAATTTTAAGTGCGTGCATTTCAGCTGCACTTACAAAAGGACCCTGTCAAAACTTGCGAAAGTTTCCCATAACATTATTTAGGAAAACAAGAATACTCCGTCCCATGCGCATATGCACACATATGAAATGCAGAGTTGTGTTTTCATACAGATCTTATATGTCTATATGGAAATAGATCTGCTCCATTCTTTACTCTCCAGGCCTTCACACAACCTACTGACATTGTTTTTATGTAAAAATAAATAAATCAAGCTGTGCTCTGATCAATTGATTTCTGAGCCTTCCCTCAATTTCCTCCATAAGCTTCATTCTATTTAACATTTCCATGTTGAGAACCCATAATAGACACAGTATTCAGATGGCAGCTTTTCACTGCAATCTCACATTGTTTTACAGAACTTTCCTTTCAAATTTACTTACAGACATTTTGCCGTTGCGGTTGGCTTCCTCCCTCTCCGCCAATGCCTTCAGAAAGTCATCTTTCAGCTCTTTTCCTGCACTTGCCAGAGCTCTGGTAAGGGAAAGACAGAACACAATGTTTGTTTCAGGCTCTTTCTATCTTCCTCCTCATCTAAATAACATTTAAACAAGAGTGAATAATAAAAAAAATGAAAGAGTTCAGTCCAAGAGAAGATCCATCAGTACCTTGACAATGTCCCAAACCAACCTAACATATTTCAAAAAGGACTGCAGATTTTTTTAATAGAAAAGTCTGAATTAATAAACACAACTCCAACACACTGTGTGCGGCAAGGCTGAACTGAATAGTAGAGCCACCGCATCTAAAGCCATGGTGCTTTTGCCAAACAGGGCAACAAACAGGGGCAGTATTTTTTTTGCTGTGTCAACTCCAAACAAATGCAGCAAAGAAGGCCAGATCAGGCCCATTACCAGCAGCTGGACTGGTTTGGAACCCAGCAGATACTTGTGGGCTTCCCATAGGCATCTAACAAGGTAAAGGGACCCCTGACCATTAGATCCAGTTGTGACCGACTCCGGGGTTGTGGCGCTCATCTCGCTTTATTGGCCGAGGGAGCCGGCGTACAGCTTCCGGGTCATGTGGCCAGCATGACTAAGCCGCTTCTGGTGAACCAGAGCAGTGCACGGAAACGCCGTTTACCTTCCCGCCGGAGTGGTACCTACTTATCTACTTGCACTTTGACGTGCTTTCGAACTGCTAGGTTGGCAGGAGCGGGGACCAAGCAATGGGAGCTCACCCCATCACGGGGATTCGAACCACCGACCTTCTGATCGGCAAGTCCTAGGCTCTGTGGTTTAACCCACAGCGCCACCCGCGTCCCACTCATAGGCGTCTAGTTGCCATTAAGAACAGAATGCTGAACTAGATAGGACTTCTGTCTTATGTCACCATGATACGCATCCACCAGTCAATGGCAGTTGTACATACTATGTGGCAACCAGCTGAAGCACCTTTGTGAATAGACTGCAGGGATCAAAACAATTTATGTAGTCCCCAAAATGAGGGGTGATCTTGGTGTGCTTCCTGATAAGGTAGTTCCTTATGAAGATGTCATCTAACTAAAGCAGATTCTCCTGTGCACTGTGCTGAAAATAAATATCTAAAGCACAGGAGACCATATTATAATGCAGGTTGTGGACCCCTGGCCTAGGCCAATACCGCTCACATTCTGTAACCAATAAAGTTGTGCCCTAAATTTTGCCCATTAACATTAACCTAAAATTCTGTGTCCTTGTGTCTTTATTCTCCTGAGGGTGGCTTGCGGCCCTTGACACGCAAATGTATGTGTGCATGCACCCACATCACATATCAGTGCACACCAATGGTCACATACGACTGCCCTTCTTCGTCAATTTTAATAAAAAGCTAACCCTCCAGAGAAAAGGGTGCCCCCATGCCCACAAGGAACAGTTGGATATATTTGTGTTGGGAATAGTCAAGCTTTGTACAGTCTTCCTATGCCCTCTCTGTTTTCCCAAGGAAGGGAGAAGTGGCAAATAGAAAAGGGAAAACGGTCGGAAGGGATTTTTTAGCCCCTGCTATGCATTTCTCCTGTTTGACTAAGTTTACATAACACTCAGTGACCTGAAAAAGCTTGTAAAAATAAATACCAAAAAGAAGTTATTTCCTCAAAAGGGAAAAAAAGAAAGGAAGGAAGCTAGAGTAATTTCTTTACAAAGCATTAGAGCTACACTTTACTGGCATGTAAACACTCAGTTATTCTATTGTTAACATATTCACGCAATTGCACCCTTTCGATGCAGTATAAGGGCAATGCAAAAAAAGGCAAGAGAAAAACTGAAAGCTGTGTTTAACGATTAACCAGCAAGTTATGCATGCTATGACAATGTCACACATACAATCTAACAAGTAAAGGTCTTCCCCTTCTCTTCCTGCAGCCCATTTCTTCAGTCCTTCCATTGCAGAATCTTCAATGTAATCTAATTTATTAGAAAAGGGAATGTTCCACAGGGAGATCATTCTGCGCAAACCATATTGGAATGGGAATGAGAAGCTCAAGCTTTTTATGTTTGATGTTTTATTATGCTGAAAGTTTTAATTTGTTGGAAACTGTCCGGAGTGGTTGTGTTCCTGACGGGCTGGGGCAATCCAGTCTGATGGACAGCACGCATACACACAGACACACAGACACACACACACATATAGACACACACACACACACACACACACATATCTGTAAGCAAAGACAGCCTGTGTATTAAAAGATGGATTGAATTTTCCTGGATACAAAGATGGCAAAAAAACAAACACACCCAAAGCTAAGTGTTATTGGCAAACTGTTGACATCACAGACTAATGATGACAATCCCCACCAGAGGCTTCAGTAAGATGACAATGAAACTGAGGCCAAATCAGGGCAAGCCCTTGTTGAAACTTGCCGCCCTCGTTCTGCAGGAAAGCATTGGTGCAAGTCATTAATTAATGGAACACCATTACAAAGTGCACATAAAATGGTGCCACCCATTAAACCAAAACACTCATTGCTACCCAGCCAGAAGCAGACTTCTGCGTTATGAGTACGTTCTTTGCAGCACTATTCTGTGTCTGATACTATTTTGCTACATTGACTCTAAAACGCACATCTGCAAAGCAACTGCTTGGGTTGCTTCTGGTGGCCCTCAGTTGCAAAATAAGAATTTACCAATGCAATTGCAATTCCCATTATCCTCACCACATCCTGTATCAACTGCCAAGTCTGAAAAGTCTCTCCCTCCCCCAAAGCCATGCTCCCTGTTAGACAAAGGTCCATACAGGGCAGTGGAAAGGCCTCCCTTGGGAGGTTGTAGACTCTCCTTCCGTGGAGGTTTTTAAGCAGAGGTTGGATGGCCATCTGTCATGGATGCTTTAGCTGAGATTCCTGCATGGCCGGGGGGTTGGACTAGATGACCCTTGGGGTCCCTTCCAACTCTACATTCTATGATTCCATGGCAGTCAAAAGCCAACTCTTAAGACCAGACCAGAATGCACCTAGGAAATCTGTGTAAAATACTGGATGGCCTAGATTTAAGGACATAAGATGAAACTGCTGCATCAGGCCGATTAGTAGTCCAGTATTCCTATTCTCAACAAACCTAGACAGCATCTTAAAAAGCAGAGACATCACCTTGCCAACAAAGGTCCGTATAGTTAAAGCTATGGTTTTCCCAGTAGTGATGTATGGAAGTGAGAGCTGGACCATAAAGAAGGCTGATCACCGAAGAATTGATGCTTTTGAATTATGGTGCTGGAGGAGACTCTTGAGAGTCCCATGGACTGCAAGAAGATATTTTTAGCTGATTTTGCGTGTGCGCTCCCCATCGCCTGCACCCCTGGTGGGGGCCCACCTCACCACCCCCTACCTACGGCCCTGTTCAGAAGCATTACTGTCTCCTGCTGTGGCTAGTTAACATAACCTAGTCTTCCTAACACCTTATCCACTCCATTTTACAACTGTAGATGGGGTTTCCAAACCCAGGAACATACTACTTCTAGGAACAAGGCTCTTGCCCTGCTTGCTCCACTCTTCTCCCTGCCCCCATTTGGCTTCAGAAGAACACAAAAGCTTTCTCGCCACTTTGTGACTTTTCGGTTGGTCCTAATAAAAGTATTACTTTATTATTACATTTGATTATTTTCTAATGAACAAAGCTACCTGCAGTATTTGGAATTAAACTGTGCCCACATGCTTGATTTTCTTGACCTAAAATATAAATTAGACACTGGCTGATACAGTGGTGCCCCGCAAGACGAACGCCTCGCAAGACGAAAAACTTGCAAGACGAAAGGTTTTTTCGTTTTCGAGTTGCTTCGCAAGACGAATGTCCCTATGGGCGTGCTTCGCAAGACGAAAACGTCTTGCAAGTTTGTTTCCTTTTTTCGTAAAACCGTTAAAACCCAGGGTGCATTGCTGGAAGAGGTGCAGTTGCGACTTGACCTCGAGGAGCAACACATTGCACTCGGTGTGGTGGCCTTTCTGAGCTTTTTAAAGAGTTTGCTGGATTTTTGAAGCTTTTCCAAAACTTCTTTTGCAGCTGTTTGGTAAGTTAAACTTTTAAAACTTTGTTGGGGGTTGTGGATTTTGGGTTGGGGTGTTTAGAATTCAAGGACTTGGTGTTGGGGAGGGGTTTGCAAGAATCTGGGAGCTTGTGTGGTTTTTTTCTGCATTTTTATGATTTTCTGTGACCATTGGGCCATGTTTATTTTTTTTAAAAAAAAAACCCTGGCTTTGAATTTTTGAATTTCTGTGTGCTGGGTGGATGGGGGAACAGCTGGGGAGGGGTTTGCA